TAAATTAATTTAATAATTTTGGCCAAAATTATAAACGCATAATTTATTTTATTACGCATGCATAATTTGGTATTTACGCAGCATAATCCTGGACACTCTATGCTATCGGAATGCCACTATTTTAAAAAGTAATTTTTAGAGGATCATTTCTATTTTAAGGTGTCCGGTGACTTTTCCCTCACTGAAATAGATTATCAAAAAGATGACCCCTTAGATAAACGTTACAATAAGATTATAATTGTGTATTTTTCTTTCTCAACCTCAAGAATTTTTTTTTTTTTTAAATAATGAAATTACTTCCGAAATTTTCAAAACAAAAAACAATTCCTCGTTCACAACTTATCAAATATGCAATAATTATTTGTATTTTTACAATTCTATGGAATATAATTGAAGGAGTAGTTTCGATATTTTTTGGTAATGAAGGTGACTCGGTTAGTTTAATATTTTTTGGGGTTGATTCATTCATTGAAGTTACCTCGGCAGGTTTAGTACTATGGAGATTTTTAACTGAATCAAAACCTGATGAAGAGAAAGCAGTTCAAATTTTAGAAGAAAATTTAGGAAAAGAGAGAAAAGCTACAATGGGAATTGGATTGTTATTTCTTTTGTTATCAATTGCTACAATTTCGGATGCAATTGTTGCTTTAGTACAAAGAAGGAACCCCGAAACAACAATAGCAGGGTTAATTATTTCTAGTGTATCATTATCATTTATGGGATTTCTTTGGTTATCTAAAAAATATCTTGCTAAAAAGTTAAATTCTTCTACGATGGCTTCTGAAGCTCAATGTTCTTTGGCTTGTATTAAAATTACGTTAGTATTATTCCTTGGAAGCATACTTTTTATGATATGGAAAAAGGGCTGGTGGATAGATTCTACTGCTGCTATCATCCTTGGTATTTTGTTTGCTAAGGAAGGGGTTGATATGATCATGTGGGCAAGAAGTAAAAACTTTAGTGGAGGATGTTGTAAACATGATGCAATTGAGAAGAAATGTTGTGAGAAAGAAAATGAAAAGGAAAATAGATGTTCTGTGAATTCTGCAACATCTTTATCAAATAATGATGGAAAGAGGGAAAGGAGCGGAATTACAACCATAGTTGAAAAGTTGACTAGTTTCACCAAGGTTAATAGGGCAAGTTTTCGTAAGTCTACAAATTCTGTAAGCAAAAATACTTTAACTAATCAAGAAGGTAACCAAGAAGATAACCAAGAAAGGAAGCATGATTGTTGTTCTGACAATAAAGTTTGTAAAACTTCTCGCAGCGCTAACGAAGTTGATTATAATGAAACGACGGAGAAATATTGTGGAGACGACAAGACAAATCAAAGTTCATGCTGCTCTAAAGAAAGCAAAGAATCAACTGAAAATAAAGATAATGTTAAATTCTCATCAGGTGAAGAAGAAAAAGAAAAAAATATAAAAATCAATTCATTGACAATTGTTGAAACTCGAGATACAATTGATGTAGACGAGAACAAAGAAAAAGATTCAAGTTGCGCATGTTGCCACGAATAAATATCTAAATAATTCATTACTTTGCAAGTTAGCATCCACTATAAGTTTAATCGGCTGATATTTTTTTAATATTGTAGTTTTATATCTTTTGTAAAATACGTATTTTTATTCTAATAACGTATAATTAAATATATATAATTAATATAAAATAACATAATGAACATAAAAAAAAAAAAAATTTTTCTTTCAACGATTTTCCAAACTATTTCCTTTTTTCATTTCATGTTCATCCAAAATAGGGAACAATGTGTGTTCTACAAGGTAATTAGAAATGTTGGTTTAATCCATTTTAATTTGTGCTTTTTATATTTTTCATTTCATATTAACTCCATGATTTCGCATGTCAACTTGAATTTTTAGGGTTTGGTAGTTTCACGTGTAAAATATACTATTTCTCATTTTGCATAGCATTAATTAGGAGAACTATCTTGAAAAAAAGCATAAATTTAAATCGAACGATCGAATTGCATGCATTTTTATTTACCCAATTTCCTCACGAAAATTTAATATACTAATTTTTTCTTTTAGATTAATTAGCATAAAACAAGGAGTATCAGTTTTCTATTATGTACTATTTATATAAGGTAATGTTATTTTTTTTGCTGTCGCAAATCAGATCTCCTTTTGACCCATAAAAAGTAAAACAACCAAGGTTACTCAACCGATGTGTACAAGAATTTTAGTCCTTTTAGTCCTTTTGTACAAGCATAAGATAATTTTGTGTCTTGGTAATAAATCTATTTTACTTGATTTATTACATTGTAACTCTTTGATAATCCCATATGTGTGCCGATTTTTAACTAAAAATGGTGCAATTACGAATTTACTAAAAGTTATAAAAAGCAATAAAATAATAAAATAAAAAAATTAATCTCGTCTCATTCTTATTTATCTTCAATTCATTTGCATTTTCTCAATTCAAAAAAAAAAAAAAAAAATTTTTCTGCACACAAACGCATAAATACGTCATAAATTTGTGTAGTCGAAAAATTTTTCATTTTTTCATTTTTTTCTTTAAAATCTTATTGAAATTATTGAATGAATGTAAAAAGAAGTCGTTTTATTTTTTTAAAAAAAAAATGAGTTTCCCAAAACGCAAACAAACGGGAACTTTATATCCTTGGTCCCAAAGGAAACTCTCAATTTCTAATCCATTTCCTCGTTATGGTCATTCTGCAAGTCAAAATGCCATAAATAATGAACTCTTTTTATTTGGTGGAATCGCTAGGGGAAAACTTAGAAACGAAGTTTTTACCGTAGAATTTAGTGAGTGAAGATTTCTCTAAACTTGTTAATTTTTTTTTTTTTTTTGTCGAATTAAATTTTTTTTTTTCTTTCCTTTCCTTTGTGATAAAATTAATTAGATACTCTTAACGTTCTTGCCTTCGTTACTTCGGGTGAAGTACCTTCGCCACGAAGTGGTCATACTCAAGTAAACTTTGGAACAAATATAATTGGTAGGCAACGTTGCATCTAACTGCATTCAAATTACTAATATTGTTCTTAAAACGCTTCTTGGTGTTAACTGTTTAAACAAATTTTATTAGTTTTCGGAGGAATAACCAATGAATTGACGAATAAATCCGATGAAAATTTGTATATCCTTGACACCGGTAAATAAAAATAATTACTTTTCCGAATATAAACAATACGCATGCATATCTTTTGATATACTATTATTTAAAAATCACCGCAGCATCAAAGGTATGGAACGTTTCCGAACATGAAAATCCTCCATTATCACGTCATGGACACTCGGCGACCATTATCGGAGGAAAAATGTATATCTTTGGTGGTCAACGTGAAGGAAAATACTTGAACGATTTAATTTCTTTTGACATCAAATCTCGTAAGAAGAAATGATAATTTTAATCTTAAACAAACTTTCGTTTTTTTTTAATATCTCCCTGTAATTCAAATTTTTCTTTAAAATTTAAAATTTATTATTATTACAGGACAATGGGATGTTATTGTCCCACGTGATCAATCACCACACGGTCGTTCCGGACATATTTCATATGCGTATAAAGAAAAAATTTACATGTATGTTTCCGTAAAGAAAAGTTCAATTTCTCTTAAAAAAAAAAAAAAAAAAAAAAAATTTGCTAAATATTTATTTGATTTATTGAATCAAGATTTGGTGGAATCGATGAAAAACAATGCTATAATGATACATGGTGTTATGACACTTGGAACAACACATGGACAGAATTATTATGTACCGGATATTTTCCACTCCCACGTCATGATCATGGTTCCACTATGGTTAATGATATAATATATATTTTTGGTGGTAAAACTTATGAGAAAAAAGAACAAGGCGATTTGGCTGGTAAAAAAAAAAAAAATTTTTTACTATAGCAATTTGTTTGAACTTTTAATTTTATATATATATATTTATTTATTTGTTCTGTTTATGATTAGCCTTTCGAATAAGTGATCAAAGATGGTTTATGTTTCAAAAAATGGGACCTGCCCCATCCTCGCGATCTCGACATACGATGACTGCTGCGGGGGATAAAATTTTAGTACTTGGTGGTGAATCTATAAGCTCACCTAAACCTGATGAAGAAGGAATAATACACGTACTCGATACATGTAAATATCGGTAATTAAAATTAATTGATTTATTTATTTATGTATTTATATATTGAATTTTATTTTATTTTATTTTTTTTTCCCCTAGCAAAGATAAAATACCCATCGGTATCACAACAAGCGATTCCGCAGCAAATACAACAGGGATCGCAAAGAAAACAAAATTTTCCACAAGCTCAAAAATTATCGCCTAAAGAACTTTCTCCAAATCTAATTGATAATAATGGAAGTATGCGACTGAAGCATATATTTCCCACATCAAGACAAAGTTCAATTTCAAATTCACGTAGTGAAGATGAACAACCTTCTCGTTCAATAAGTCCTTATGGTTCTCCGCGGATGCCACCAGAAAACACGGGAGGAGGAATGAATTCTTCAATACCTCCTGGTCACATTCCTTTACAGCAACAGCAATTACAACAACAAATTCCAACAAGGAGAAGCCCGCAGCCTCATTATCAAAATACGTTACTAACTCAACAAGGATATCCAAAAAGTCCCGCACTTCAGGGAACACCGTCTTCAAGAGGAATGTCCGCTTATGACGTTAACGCAATTGCAATGTCAAATTCAAAGGGAAACCCTCCCGAACAGATAATTTATATGGAACGTTCAACTTCGCCCCAATCACGTTCACAATACGGAAACGCTGAAAGTCTTCGGAAGAAAACGCCTTCCCCACTTGCTAATGTGATCGATGAAATCCCAAAACAACAACAAAATAATGATAATAATCTTCAGAATCAAGGAGGTGCCAAGAAGCAATTTGAAAATCCACGTCAAGCTCCTCGGCCTCCTAACCCAAATATGAATAACGTGGATAATCAAAGTAAATCGGCACCATATAGCGGTTTGTCGAGCGATAAAGGAAATAATACCGGAGGGTTGTCATCACCAGCGTCCATAAACGTTAATACGATGCCTCCAAGTCCGATGTCTTATGAAGAAGGGAATTCTATGTCGTCAACCATCACGAATAGTCCCTTTGAAGTCTCCGATACCGTTGATCATTCTCCGGCACGAATCGAACGTGACGATTTGATGCGCGAATTACAACAGCGCGATCAAATTTTAGCTGCGTTTAAAAGGCGTGAAATGTGGTTTAGAACTGAATTGACTTTAGCTAGAAAATCCGGGTATACCCCGGGTAGCGATATTGATAATTCTCCGCCTGATGATATTGATATTGAACATTTATTGGATATGGAAGAATTAACTTCTGAAAAACATCAAATATTGGAAACTATTATCAAATTCAAACAAGAAATAATGAAATCAAAAGTGCTTGTAGCAAATCAAGCTCAAATTTCATCTCAAAAAATTACAGAATCCGAACGAGCGCGTACTGCTGCATTACAAGAAGCAGCATATTTCAAAGCCAAATTGACAGCTATAATGAATTCATCAGAATCAAAGTTAGCAAGCATTGAAGTAAAGCGTGCTAAAGATCTTGAAAAACGTTTAACGCAAGCATTAACTGAGAAAGAAGGTATACAGAATAAATACACGCAATCACAGCAGAGGTTAAATTATGAAACCGCTATCAGGCAATCAGCTGAGGAACAAACGAAAGTCGCTACAATTCGTGCTGAAGAAGCCGAAGAAGCCCATGCACGTGCTTTATCAGATCTCGCAACTCTACATTCTCGTGCTACCACAGCCGAAACTTTACTAAGAGAGACGAGAACGAAATTAGCTGAAACCTCAGCAGATTTAACGCAATACCGTTCAGGAAATGATAGCATTCTGTCACAATTAAATAAATCTCAGCAGTCCGTCGAACAACATCAACGAGCGCTTGAAAAAGCAAATAACGCTCTTAAAATCGCTAATGAAAGAGCGAATGAATTTGAAAAGTTATGGAAACAGTCATTGCAAGAAATTCAGATATTAGAAAAAGAAGCCGCGAGTCTGCGCGCTGAACTTGATGTTAAAATGAAAGATTTAGATCGTTCAAAAGCAAGAGCCATTGACATGGAAAGGTTACTAGATAAAGCGCACAAAGAAAACGATACGATGAGAGCAACCATACAAGAAGGGATGAATAATTTATTGGATAATTCCTCAAAATCGAATTCAGACATAAGTGATTACGTAAATGTTACGGATAAACTTCAACTTGTTGAACAAGAACTTTCCGAACTTAAAATAATACATGCTGAGACACAGAGGTTTGCTAATGATGCCTCAGCCGAGTTATCGGATGCCAAGGTTAAAATTATGCAATTAGAATCGTCCGCCATGAAAGCTCGTTCAGAATCTGCGCAATTACAACGTAGGTTGGGAGAAAGCAATGATGAAATTATGAAGATAAAGGTGCGTTTAAGGGAGAAAGAACGAATCTTGGACGAAAAGGCTCTTGCTCTTGAAGATTCTGAAATTAAAGCTGGAATGATGCGTGATGTCATGACCGAAAGAGGAATATTATTCGGTAACCTATCAGGAAGTCAACAAGAGTCAACGCCAATGCAATTTAGAGAAATAGAAGCACGTTGCAAGGAATTAGAGAATATGCACGCTAAAGCACAAGCAGAACTCGCAAAATATAAGAATGCATTACATAAAGCCAATGATGCAGAACGAGGGTCAAAGAGCTTAACATCGAACATTTTAAGTACTTTAGCATTAGAGGATAAATTGAGAGTTACCGAGAAGCAGTTAAATGAGACTCAACGACAGCTTGACGTCGCTAGGCAAAAATTGAAACAATTAGATACGGATTATAAGACCGCCACGCATTACGTTAAAGGAACCGAAAAAATGTTGAGGAGAATGAAAGATGAATTAACAAAGAATAAATCAGAAAGTTCAAAGTTAAAACAACAATTATCAACCGCACAACATCAAAATGAAGATTTAGAAGATAAAATTACTGAACTTGAGAACCAAATGTCACTACAAAATGGTTATCGTGCTTCAAGGCAAGAATTTGCAAATATTAAACAAATAATTATACAACGCGAAGAATTTTTAAAGGAAAAGGAAGAGATGGAAAAAAAGATTTCAGAATTAAGTAAACAAGTTGAACATGCTAACGAGGAGAAATCTATGTCTGATCAATCGTATGAAGCCTTGAAAAAGGAATATGATCACATACGTAAAGAGTATAAATTTTTACGTCAAACTGGTGATTCACTAAAAGAACAATTCTCCAGAGCCAGTAAAGAAGTTAAAGTGCTGAAAGATGAATTAGAAGAAACCTTATCACTAAATGAACTTTTAAATCAACAACTTGATGAAGCTTTAAAAAATAATGGTCACATAAATGAAAAACGATTTTCCGCAATAAATCGTGAACACCTTGTGAATGAACAACACAAATGGAAGGCACAGAAAGAATACTTTGAACAACAAATCAACCAACTTCAAAATGACAATGTTGAATTAGGCAATAAGTTACATTATTCAGAAAACAAAATAACTTTGCTATTAGATCAAGTGGGAACGTCAGTTGAAATGAAAGAAAGTCAGAGAGATTCAGGAATAATAAACGCTTTAACAGATGAATTAGATGTTCTAAAATCACAATATAAAATTTCGGATAACGAAACTAATAATATGAGTGAATTATATAAGGCTTCACAATTAGAAAGGTTTGATGAAATAATGGCAACTTTGGACGCAGTACAGAAAGCTTCTGTCGAAAGGAGTGAAATTAATAACTAAACAAAACTACAAACTTAATTTAAATTTTATTTTAAACAAAATTATTTATATATGATTTTTTTTTTTTGTACAATTATTAATGATTAGAACAAAATAAGAGAGAAAAATAAAAATAAAAATAAAATCAAAATCACATCATCACCATTTAAGATTCACTTTTTATCGTCATCATTGTAAACCTCACAGTTCACAAAACTACCATTTCGACCATCGCTAACCGAAGATTCATAACTAGGAGGTGAAGAAATATCATCCAAAGAGATTTCATCCCAAGAATTTTTCGAAATTAAAGAATCATTATCGCTATCATCATATAAAGGTAAAACATCATCCTTACATATAGCAGATAAAATTATAATCGGGATGATAAGTTTAAATTTTTTTATTTTGGATTGATTTTTTCCATGAACCTTGATATTAAATAAGAACCTTAATTCATGAGAGATTGTAATTGGATCCGAAGTATAAGAAGGATGAATGATATAAGGTAAATTTGGTATTCTAAAGGAAATCGTTTCGTGATAACATAGTTCTAATGATTCATCAATCCCCTCTACATCCTCGTTTTGTTGTTGAAAATCATTTTTGTCATAATTAAATATATGAGAACTTAAATTATTAGAATCTTTATCAATCCATTCTTTTATAAAATCATTGATTTTGATTCCGCAGATTGTGCTTTCCTGCAAACTTTGTTGTGAATCAGATGTTATATTATAAACGGATCTCTCAACCAAATCTATATGAACATATTGAAGGTCTAATTTAACCTTATCTTTAGGCATCAATTTCAAATCTATTTTCACACAATCACCGATAGGAAACGCTTTCTTTAGAAATGAAATCTCATATCTGCAAAGATCATTCCAATCATTTGAAACGACTTTTCCTTGATTCCACTCATCCGATATGGTGCGTAATATGGTGACATATTGCGATTTCCGTATTCTTGAAAAGATTCCGGATTTGGTAACTTTTGCCGTTACTTTATAATTGATCTTTCCAATATTTGTGTTAATGGATTCAGGAAGTGTACCAGGAAGAAATAATTCAAAAGGAAAAGTATGAATTCCTTTTGATAATACATGATGATATTTGAATGATTTCTTTGAAGTTGAAGATTTCGAAAGTGAATGAAATAATCTTGATGTAAGACTTTTATTATTGTGAACGGACGAATCATCATCTTCATTATTGATTAAATCTTGTGGTTGATCAATAAATGTCCAATTGTGAGAAATTACTTCCTTTTCTATATAATTATTACTCGCTGCTATTTCTCCTGTTGTATGTGGAATGAATAATTTGATTTTTCCAAGAAATTTCAATTCAAGTCTTTTGATTTTTGCTAGTTTAGCTAAATTTAAAATCAATTCACCTCTCAAAAAACAACCTAATGATTCTTCAGGTGATCCATGTAAAATGATTGTCGATTCAACTAATTTTATTTTTAATTTATTTTTAGTTGACCTATGTAGTAACCTTTTCTCATTGCTTTCCGTAGAAATTGGATTCATTTGTCTGAAACTCGATTTTTTTTATTTTTGTTTTTTTAACGTTTTATTTTTATTTTATTTATTAAATTTATTTCCTTTTTTTTTTTTTTTTTTTTTTTTTTTTTTTTTTTAAAACGAAAAGGAAATTGAGGGGGTTTGTTTTTTTTCTTTTTGCAAGTACAAAAAAAGCCGAAGTTATTTATAATTTTATCGAGTGTGATACATGACGCAGCGATAATAACTTCATTGGTCAATTTTGCTGCATTGTTGTTTTGTTACTGCAAAAAAAGAAGAAATATCCTTTCGAATAATGGTAATAACAACTGAGGTTAAAAATAGAACGTTACAGTATTTCTTTTGTAATCATTCGCATCACAACCCACCATCGAAAGCAGCACCAAAATAAATTAATAAAACAAAGAAAAACAAAAAAAATAAGGAATTGTTGTGGCGAAGTCACATTTTTTTTTCTTGATGATTTTCTTGTAAGAAATAATAATAATAATAATAATAATAATAAAGAATTTAATAAAGACGGTAAAAGATCACAAGCCATGGTAAAAAATATCATAAAATAGCACGAAAGCACAATCAAATATTTACGGTATGCTAAGCCTTTTCCCACTTTTGTATATAAAAATAAAGAAAAAAAACTTTCCTTTTGAACATGATACATGTTAAAAAAAGTTCGTTTTTTTTTAAAATAAAATTTTTTTTTTTCTTGTCGATTTGAAATGAAACAATGACATCAATTTCTCGAATTCGATTCATCCTTTCCTACATATTATTATTCTTTCTTGTTCGAGACATTTTTGCAAAAGAGGCAGCATATAATGATGATGGCATTCTAAAAAAATGTGGAGTAACTTGTATAATTGTAATTACCGTTGTTAGCGTACTGATTCTTGGAATTATTGCCTACATCATTCTTCGAAAAAAATATCGTCATCGTCAAAAAACTGGTTATACTGAAGAAGTCCCAGCCTTAAAATGTAAGCGATTCGAAAAAAAAAAAAAGAAAGTGAATTGAATTTTCGTGTGATTATTTAATATCTATTCTATCTAGATGATGATTTCAACACATCTTTTGAATCCATAAATATTCAGCCTGTTTTTCAAAGGGCACATCCAAATAAATGAGATACTTTTCTTTTTTTTATTTATCATGCAAAAAGCTTTTCTTAAAGCGTTTGTACGTGTGAATATAGAAATAGAATTTCCATGAATTTTTTTTTTTTTATTATTTTGTAAAATTTCGGATTTATATTTGTATGACGATGCCTTTTACCTTTTGTAAAAAAAACCTCTCCCCCTTGAATTTTTTTGTATGTGGATTACCTTTTCCTTCTATATTGTAAATTAAGAATAAATTTAATTTAACGTTTTTTCACGTTTACTTCGTTTTGTAAACCTTTGTATGGAATAACTCCAACGTGTATTGTTATATCATGCGACACACTTTGACATGATCAAATTGAATTTTCCGACGACATAAAAAAAAATTTAAATTAAAAAAAATATATATATTATTCATATCTTGAATTCGTTACCCGAACATCCATCGTTACACAAATTAATGTTGAGTCCGAATGTGGCTAATAACTTTCACGCAATTTAGACCATGTTCCATTTAATCATTTAATTACAAAAATACCAATATTTATCTTTTTATTTCTTTTTTATTTATATATTTATAAAAAAAAAAAAATGAGTACAACATAACAATGGTTTCTTATATATAAATGGGATATATCACAAATTATGTTGGATGCAAATTAAGTGTCAATCTAAAAGCCAATCTTTTAAATATTAATAAATACTTTTTTTTTTTTATAATTACAATAAATAATTATTATAAATATTATTCCTGATTAGCTTTCTCTAACCAATAAGCGGCAGCTTCAGAATCCGCTGTCACCCCTATCCCTTTTTGATAACATTTGGCTATATTCTGCTTCGCCAACTTATACCCAGCATCAGCCGCTTGTTTATATAAAGAAAAGGCTTTTTTATGATCGGAACCAACGCCCAATCCCATTTCAAAACAAAAGGCCAACATGTTCCTACCACAAACGTTACCTCCATCGCTTGCCAATTTAAAATATTGCAATGCTTTGCTTTTGTTTTTAATGGTGCCACGACCATCATGATAACATTCTCCCAAACTTTGAAAAGCTGTAACGCTTCCATTAGCTGCAGCTTTTGAATACCATTCGAAGGCCAAGGTTTCATCTTTCACAGTACCTTTTCCATTTAAATAACAATAACCCAACAAATCTTGAGCGATAGCGTATTGTTTCTTTGCCGCACTCAAAAATAATACAAAAGCTTTCCTATTCTCTATAGGCGTCCCAATACCATTCAAATAAAAATATCCCAAAAGAATTTTATATTGTAAACTTAATTGCGTTCTCAAAAGCCAATCAAATATCTCAGTTGTTGTTTCTTTTTGATTTTCAAGATATTTTTGAATAGCTTTGAATAATGCATGTCCTGAGTCAATCTCATAATTTTCCATAAATAAAGATAATAATTCATCCACGATCTTTTTTGTTGGATCTTCCCTAGTTCGATCAGCAGAATTTGACCATAATCCTGCCATAGTACTTTGAGCATTGATTTGCATTGAAGAATTTATGTAACTCGTGGAATATCTACGTTGGACTGGCTTATATGCCACTTTTTTTGGAGGACTTATAGAGCGAGGCGGCGATACAATTTTTGGCGAGGGTTGTGGCATCATCGTTTGAGTTCTTCGAGGGAGTCTTGGGGTTCCTTTTGGTATTGAAACGGAGGCCGACCTTTTGGGAAGCCTTGGTCTTGCTGTTGCAAAATCGGGACTCTTTGCCCTATTCAGTATTCTCAACGGACTTTTGGATTTAGGTCTTGATTGTCTAGGTTTACCTTCTTCTAAAGGACTAAGCGATCTCTTTCTCAACGGACTTTTGCTTTTAGGCCTCGATCGTCTAGTTAACGGTTGTTCCTCCACTGAGTCAAGTGAACTCACCGGACTCAATGATCTAGGACTTTCTGATATTATTAAAGTGTTAAGTGGAGATTTTGATCTAGAAGTGGGACTTTTGGTTCTCGTTAAATTCTCGTTTTGTATCATGATTGCCGATACCGCTGAATTTTCGGATTTAACAGTAACAGGACTTTTTACTTTGTTTGTCGTGCTTGCGGTCGTAGTGGTACCTTCTTCCTTAATTACCTTAATTTCCGGACGTCCAGGACTTTCTATTTTGTTTGCTGTGCTTTTGATCGTCGTGACACCTTCTTCCTCCTCTTCCTTAATTACCTTAATTTCCGGACGTGCAGGACTTTTATTCCTTGCCATTGGACTTTTAGAACGCGATCTCGATGGACTTTTTGACCTCGATCTCGTCTTAGGGACCATTAATGTAGAATTTGATTTTTTATTTGCGATTTTTGGAGATGCTGTCGGTGGCGCTGGATTAATTGGTTTATTAATTACAGGGGAGGATTTTACTGGTTTTTTGACGGTAGGAGCAGGTGGAGCTGGGGTGGGAGGTTCTACAGTAATCGTAAATCTTCTCCTTTGTTTAGTAGTTTTAACATCCTGCTCCGTCGATGGATCTATACCACCATCAATTTTCTCAATCGCTGATACAACTTCCTGAATCTCGGGTCGATCATTGGGATCAGACTGCCAGCATTCTAAAGAAGAATAGAGAATAAGATTTTGTTTGAACAACAAGTAAGACGAAATTAAAAATTTGACCCTTTTTAAAAAAATCTTTCAGAATTACTTTTATAAATTTCGATATAATCTTTATCGATTCCATCCATATCTTTCTCGCGAAGTCCTTCCATGATCACTTTTTGTAAGTCTGAATGTTCTTCCAAGCTAAATGGCAGATATCCAGAAGTTAATTCCCACAAAAGAACTCCCAAACTATAAACATCGGATTTTTTTGTTAACATTGCTTGTTTATCCCCGCTACTCTTATAACTTGGTATATTAAAATATTGTGGATCAACGTAAGCCAAAAAATTCTGTAAATTTGTTGATACATTTGATGATTCTGACATCTTACATGTAATCCCTAATGCTTTTAATTTTAAATTGTGTTGATTGATGATTATATTGTTAGAATGCTATAACAAAAAAAGAAAAAAAAAATGAAATAAAAATGAAGAAATGAAAAAAAAAATCAAACAAAATAAAAACATATATATATATATATATAAAAAAAAAAAAAAAAAAAAATTAAAAATATTAACAGAAACATTTTTTTTTTTCTTTTTTCTTTTTAGAAAAAAATAAAAAAATTACAATTGCTTACCAAGTTTCTATGAATTATGTTATTTTCATGTAAAAATGAGATGCCATGACAAAGTTGTTTTGCAAATTTTAATCTAACGGCCCATAGTAAATTTTCCGAATTATTTTGCAAGTACTCCCTCAAAGATCCCCCATCACCGTACTCTAATATTACCATATATTTTAATGGATCAGTAACTTTTTTATCTAATATAGTCAATGATTTCAAATTAGCCTAACATGTGGATGAAATAATAATAAGAATCCAGAGGTAATTTGACGTAAATCTCGCTTACCACTATTTTCTGATTTGGTAACGCCGTAAAATTTTGAAATATTTTCGTTATTAAAAAGATGAATCTTCCTTAATAATTTGAGCTAATTGTTCGAGGAAGAATTTATATTTATAAATTTAAAAATTTAGAAGATAGTATCTCACCCCAAATTCGATCGAATTAAATACCTCAGATACAACTTCTCTTGTGGATAATTTATTTCCAATGAACTTCATAGAGACCATAATTTCAGCGTCATCCTTTTTCATGAGAGCTTTGTAAACTTTACTTGATCCGATTTGTTCGATGTCCGAAAGACTTTTATAATCTTGATAATTATATTCTCCATTCGCTAATGCTTGCTCTATCCATTCTACCCAAACTTTTTGCGTAAAGAACGCCATGGTTTTTGGGAAAAAAAAAAAATTGACTTGGGAAATCTAAAAAAAAAAAGTGTGCGCGCAAAGAAATTATATGTCGTTTTACATAATTTTCAGGTTAACGATCATTGGACTAGCGAAATTATTATGCGATTAATACATTCAGTAATGATTTACCTCTTTTATATTAACGAAAAAGTTATTTTTGGGAAAAACAAATAAGTGATGATGTCATTCAATGGAATATATTACGTTACCCCTTTATAAATAAAAAAACTCGTGAAAAATTACATTTTATTTATTTTGAAAATTCTAAGAGAACGAATCCCTGAAATATTTTAATTGAAGTGGGTGGCACAATGTAAAATATCTTTTATTAGTGATTCTTTTTGTTTTTATAAAAAAATTATATTATTATTACAGTATATAAAAAATAATATTAAGCAAAATCAACATAACCAAGAACACAAGATAAGTAAGTCTGATCAGCATTTTTGACTAAAAAAAGACGAAACATTAAAATTTAGTAAAACGAAATATAATTATTGTTTTTTCTCAAATAAATGATAATAAAATATAAAAGAATTACTTGAAAAAGCCATGGAATAATAATAATTCTTTCCATCTTGAGCTACTGGAGAAACAAGAGGCATCGGAAACGATAAGCTGATCACATTATTTCCAGCAGGTAAGGGACAATTAGTTCCAACAGAAGCACAAATATCAAAAGAAGCATTCATGATGCTTGTATTATCATCTCGATCGATCGCTATTTCATACCGAGCTCCTTGATAAATTGGCACCTTGCTAGTCCCCACAAGTGTAATAGTTGCATGTTGACCATAAACTAATTTGTTTGGAGAAAGTGTAATGCTAACTGTATTGGGGTATTGTCCGGCACAAGCTGTAAACGGACCATGTCTTTTTTTTAACACCGAAGATTCCGTAACGTTACTTAGAATGAAGAAAACCGTAAGAAGCAAAATTAATAATTTATTCATGATTTTATTAAAAATTATTAGTAGTAGTAATAAGGAATTCTATCGGAGCAAAAAGAATTTTGGTGGAAAAAAAAAAATAAAAAATAATATTTCTATTGTTTTATTGTTTTTATTGTTTTTATTCGTGCAATTTAAGGGGCATACGACATCCATAGTCGTTCAATGCGAACATTTTCATTCGACATTATTTTGCAGATATGTTGTGAAATCGTGTCATTCACGCACTTAAAAATAGATTTATTGTTACCAAACATGAATGTTAAAGTTTGGATTTTTCTCCTGAACAAAAGTAATAAATTCGGATGCATTATCTAAAGAATCTAAATCTAAACTGGAAGAACTAAAAAATCTAATTTTGTTGCAATTAGTATTATCTTTTTTATATTGTATTAAAGTAAAAAATAATTCATCTTTAATATTTTTACTATTATTATAAATTATGTCTAAAATAATTAAATGATGACATTGTTTTAAAAAATAATCTAAACTTAAGTAATGCATATTAAATTCCAATACAAGATGTTGTAAATATAAAGGTAATGATTTTGATAATTTTAATAAAGATTCAAATATGATTGATGTGTGATTAATTTCTCTACTTGATAGATTTAAATATTTTAATTGATGTAAATTGGAAAGTAAGTTGGAAAGCAAAGAGATGATATAATTATAATTATCTAATAAGAATGAGATTGACAAATGAGTTATCTGTGAACATGACGTCTTAATGGTATCAAAAATTATCGGATTTGAACTTCCATCTAAAATGAGCCTTCTTAGATTAATATTAGTCGCTTTAAGGATCTTCGGAATCAATGGATCGGGTTCATAATTGTGACCAACGAGTAAATTGACGATTGATAACTGATCCAATTCAATGTCTGATGGGGTGAGGAAGTCTGACCCACCCAATAGTTCTAACGTCTTTAGATTTTTCCACGCAGCCAAACCATCTCTAAGGTAATAATCAGAGCGTATTAATTCCATAAGGGTTAAATGGGATAAAGAATGAGATTGACGTATTAATGACTTGTACAAGGAAATTTCTGATTGATCCCAATAATAATTCGATTTAAACCTCCGCAGACCTATTTGTGATTCGATTAATTTACATAAACTTCGATGAAACCTTGACGTTAAATGTTGTTCTTCCCAAGGATTCCGAAGATCCCTCGGTATTTCGATTCTAATCTCTTTCAAGTGAATGGCAAATTGTGACATTTTATTTAAGAGTTCGGTTAAAAGGGTATCTTCCCTTTTCCAATCCCTATTATACCTCAATCTCTTTACAAAATCAATTTCCAAGGTATGAAGGTTCTTTAAAGAATTATGATGTCCTTGAGTGAATAAATGTAACCTTATGTCCATTTTGTATTTATTGTCCAAACAACTATTAATGATCAGATATTTTAGGGAATCACTTTCATTAAATAATAAATATAAGATTTCTTTCGCCATGCAAGAACTCGGGTTTGTTGAATAATACTTTTTTAAGAGAGGTTTAAAGCATTTATTTATAGCTTTATCAAGATTATTCTTTGGGTTTATGATATAAAAACCTTTAAATAATTTAATTTGTTTTATAAGCATTTGATTAAATTTATTTCTTGATTTAGTCGCATAGAAATATTGTGGTGAATTATGTTGTAAGCATTTATTTAGGGCATGACAAAATTTTTGTGTATCAAACTTTTGTAAAAATATTGGGTAATCAAATAATGTCGTCGTAAAGTCGGGTAATTTGATTCCTCCAATCCTAAATCGTTTTTTGGATTCTTTTGGTAAACATGATATATACGTCCTCACGATTTTATGCGATGATGTTTCTTTAGATAATTCAAAAGGTTGACTCCATAATAATGGAATAACGAGTCGACACCAATCTCGATTAACGAGAAGACACGAATGAAGTGAGCATAAATCATCTTTTAACTGCAATAAAATATTTTCTAAACAATTCATATCAAATATAAATTTTTTTTTTTTTTTAAAAAAAAATAAAAAAAAAAAAGTTTTTTGAAAAAAGAAAGAAAAGAAAAAAAAAAATCTAAATTGACTGTTAATGTATTTATTTATGTACAAATATTGTTTTTTTTATATCGATCATTCTTTATCAGTCCGAATTTACTTAATACACAAATGCGGAATATACAATGGAACAATATAAGAAAAACTAAAATGCATCATTACTTATTAATTATTAGTTTTCTTGTTAAACAATAATTATTTATTTTTTTTTTTTTTTTCCTGAATAAAAAACAAACACAAAAGCGTTTGCAACATACCTTGTAAATAAAATAAAAAGCCTCTTTGCATTCTCGTCTCCATCATCCTATTGCAGGAATCAATTTTTGGTTAAATTCATCATCATTGCGAAACGGTATTCCTTTTCCGTATCAACCTTCCATACAATAAACTCCGGAGGTCCGAGCTTACATACATTGCTTGAATGTAATTCTTGTGACGCAGTTCCAATCAATTTTTATCAAGATATTTTTGGTTTTTAGCATTTGATTTGATATAAATAGACTGTCCAAAAAAAAAAAAGTGAGACCTGAGTCAACCTCGGGTAAACTTTTTGCGTTACAGAAATTTTCACGCGATTCACGCCTTGTATAATTTATCCAAATTTGTTAAGATGGGTGCAGTAAATACGAACGTTTTAAGACATGATTGAAATTATTAAATTTCAATTAACAATTGATCAACCAATCACAATGTATTATCGAATTTTAGAAAGTCCAAATGAAAAAAAAAAAAGTCGCACACAATGGAAAAACAATGGAAAACAATATCATTTGGTTGTCGATCTGTTAAAAAAAAGATTAGATAATGTTCGTCGATCCATTATGTCATCACCGAGAAAAAAAAAAATGATGAAACATCTTTTCTTAAGGAAAACCTTTCAATGTACGTTCATATGAATGATTAAAAGTTGCAGAATCAACGATGATTGTTCTTCAGTACCTGATATTCTTCTCACTTAATTGTGTGATCTTAAAAAGTTTTATACTCCGCATAAATTAAATGTTAAGCTATCTAATGCGAATTTTTAATCGAGAATTGTAACCCTTTTTAAATTTATTCATTTAGAAAGGGAAATGCATAACTTCTCACGAGAGGTATCATGAACGAGGAAAACAGGAAATCAGATTAAGCAACTTGTCATCACAATGGAATAAGAATTACTAACTTTCACTTTCCTGATATGGTTTTTATCCTATAAGTCAAATGAGCTTCCAATTGAGGAAATAATAAGAGTTTTTAGGATGATTATGCTAAAACATTTCCTTGATGTTTAAGCACCTTTCATGTGATTTATCGAACGAGAGAGGCTCTGTACCAGACGCGTAACTGGTTACGAACCAGTTGTTGTGGCGTTTGTAGTAACGTTCTACAGGAACAACTCGAAAGAATCCTGGAATGATTCTTAAGGAGAAACATTTTTTTTTTTTAATTTTTCTAATTATATTCTCAAATTATTTTAGTAACATATAAAGTAATTCTTGAAGATATCATCTTTTAAATAAAATCGATAAAAAAAAAAAAAGAAATATTTTATGGACTGCCTATGCCTATAAAAAAAAAAAAATTTCAAATTTTTTTTTTTTGAATAAAGTCAACTTACAGTATTTATAATATAATGGGCATATGCAAATTTACATTTTATGTTTTTTCAAAGCATTACTTTTGCTCGGCAGTTTCCCCTCACTATTGTAATCGATATATTTAAAATGTTTAATTCGAATCGATAAATGCATGAACTATGTAAATTCTTCTTAAATGCACACTTTAGTTCAATCCCAAAATTATATGATCTAACCTATAAATGCATACCTTCTCTAAATACACAATTTTTGAGAATTTTGATATGAATTCAAAGGGAAAACATTTATAGAGAGTCGACGAGCATTGTTGGAAGATTTGTACATGCACTTTAACTTTTACGATCTCGAAATTTCATAGATCAAAATACTCTTTGAACTCTTCCTAATATGGAACTATAAAGGTAAACGGACATCTTTGTTCGGAGATGATAAAAACAATTTTTTCTACAATTTATACTTCATTAACTAAAGAAGATTATTTTTAGATTCGTCAAAGAAATCAATTCTTCTCTTTTAGAATAATTTGTGTCGATATAATAAAGCTAGTTATAAAACCTGAATGGCATTGGTTTTCATTTAATTACCAAACAAGAATATTTGAGTTCTTTGTTTTCAAATATTACACGGCATTGTTGAAAAGGTTGTTATCCTTTTTTGATAACTTATTTTGATGTTCTTTGTTAGACATTCAAATGTTAAATGGTCTAATCGAATTTGAAACTTGAATAATGCATTTTGCTTTTTTATTTATATATATAATCTAATAAACGTTTTATTTGACGCGCGCGTAAATTTTATGAATCGATTACGACGATCATTATGGTTTCCATTAACACAATGAACTTTTTTGATTTTTACCAATGAAAGACGGTTGAGATCTTGTCTTAAGTTTTCGAGCACAAGTTTTTTTTTAATCATACCACACAATGTTGACGAACACGTACTGAAGTAACGGTGATTGGAAGTAAGAACATATTTTATTTGTTTCATAACTTACTTTGTTAGACATATAAATGGTAATTGTTATGAGATTTGAAACTTGAAGAATGTAATTTGCTTTTTTTTTATTTAGATAAATGTTTTTATACGACGTGTCATATTTCGTGGCATAGCAAACCGAGAGCTTGTAAGCTATCCATTTTTTTTATTTTTTTTTTAAAAAAACAGTTCCTTATTTAAAATAATAAAATAATTTCCTACTTTAAATATTACTTATGACCGAATATTCAGTCATTTGTCTTTTGCCTACCTAATATGGGAGTTTGTTAGGAAAATCAGGTTCAGAGAATTTTTTGAATAAATTAGGACTTTATTACAATTTTAATTTAATAACATCAAAAATTAAAATGCAATAAAATTCAAAATGTTGTTAAAAACTTTCATATTTAATGCATTGAGCTTGATTATTCATTACCAATAAAGACTCTTGTGATCTTATTTTCGAGTATATTTTTTAATTGTACTGCAATTGTCGAAAAATTACTAAAGGAAAGAGATTGGAATGAAATTGACAGCATATTTTTGTTTCATAATTCAATAATTGATATTTATTATAAATTTATTATTCAATAAACGTTTTATTATAACGTTAAAATTTTTGTGCCGTAGTAAACTCGAGAGCTAGCTTAAATAATACTCGGAAAGATATTGAATATCCTAATATGGCGATCATTATTTAATACATCGAAATTTTTTATTTATTACCAATGAAGAACGTTTAAAAGAATTACGGAAATTTATTAAAGAATAATGAACAAGAACGATTGGATTAAACATTTTGTTCTTTATTAGGATGTTAAATATGATAGAATTTATAATACGTATAATAAAAATGTTTGCACTTCCAATTTATTTTTCGTTGTTTAACCAAGCATAGAATTTTAACCCGATATATAATTCGATTGAACTTTTATGATATACTGATAACTTAATTTCCATTTTTTGATTTTTCGGAAAAAAGGACATGATAAATTAATATCGTATACTGAAAATTTCGTCGAAATGTAACTCATGTCCTACAAATTTTATATAATGTGACACGATTTAAATAACGAAACACCACTCTTTTTAGCTCTTTATCTGTAAAGTTCATATTTACATAATCATGTGATTCATAACAAAGTCTTGTACCTTCAATATAGCAAAGGACCAAAAAGTTTTATTATTTGTTATTTTGACACAGAAAATTGTTTGTTAACAATGTGACATGTTAGTCATGTTAATGCATTGTAAATATGCACACATAAGTAATTTCGCTTTGGGTACGAATGATCTTATAAATCAACTTTTAAACCTTTTTTGATTCTAAATTTAAAATTTAAATGTTTGGTTTTCGGTACATTAAATTAAAAATGTAAAGAAAATCTATTTTATTTTTAATTTTATTCGCGCATTAAGTTTAAGTATCTTTTTGGCAGATGTGTGCATACATACATATATACATATATATATATATATATATCACCACACCTATAAAAATTAAAGTGCATGTATATGAACGTAATTTTTTTTTTACCGTAAATGGAAAACAAAAAAAAAAAATAATTACGGATAGGACAATGGGAAATGTTCGCGAAACATAATTTCGCGACATACGCGTTATCAAATACACAAGGGAGAGTTACGGATATTATTGAAACAGGTCACATATAGATGAAAATGCGATTACATAAAAACGCAGTGGAGATGAATAATTCTTCGTGAACCCCTTAAAAGTATTGAATTGCATCGAAAGCAGGATAACAGACTCAATAATCCCTTAAAAAGTTGACTTGGATTTTTTTCTTGGTATGTCTTATGATGCTCTCGTTTTATGTTACTAAACCGAATTTATCCTAAGTATCGTATTTTTTTTTAAAAAAAATAAACAATAGATTTAATTTAGTTTTTTCCCGTTTTAAATTTCTCGTTTTAAATGTGTACGAAAAAAGAAAACAAGAAATTACTGCGGATTTCAAGGGAACAATGGGATTTTGATAATGACAATTCTCGACTTGCATAACATGTTTGATACGCACCAATCATTAAATGGGGTAGTCACTTTTTATTTCAAGGAAAAATAAAAAACAATTCGATTTTCGGAGAGTCACATATAAAAATCACCATTTTCATGTATCACTCATAATTCGGTTGATTCCGCATGATGTTACAAACTCGAAAGATTTTATAGTATTGAAATGTTAATTTAATAGTGTTGTTAATTTGTGTTAATTATTGTAGTTCAACATATGATATGATATAACATTTAATTATACAAACCTTATAATACAAAAGCCAAGAATGGCCAATTAATAAACCTTATGTAGGTTATTCATGACACAACACGTCTTATTAACTTAAAATGTAGTAGAATACGAACATTTTAAATTATTATTCAACACGGGATCATATTTTTTAACCTTCATTTAAATTATATTTGTATACATAGATCTCTCTAAGATACCATTGAAAATGAATAGTACCTACCTTATAATTAATCGATAAATATCTTGCATGTGAATCAAACATTTTAGAAATAAAATAGAGCACCTGTATTTAAGTACGGAAAATAACCTTTTTTTTTTTAAAATCTGTCCTCAAAATTTTTTTTCTTGGTGAATTATTTTTTTTTTTTTTTTTTTTTATTACTTTCTTTAACTTATTCATTCACCAAATATATTAAAAATCAACCCGATTTACGATTTATTAAATTTGACCTGTTTATGCCACTCCTTAAACTTTCATTCTCATGTTTCTTCTTCATCTAACTGCTACATCCCCAACAGTGATTTCTCCTCCCCATATCATCATCATTCCGTGCGTATGGCTCGATTAGTAAATAATTTTACAGTCTCTTGTAGAGAAATAATAAATAATGGATTGGTTAAGGTGGATTATATTTCAACACGACCAGAAAATTGTAACTGCGATTTTAGAATAAATCTTTTTTATTGCAAAGGTGAACAAATCTATCGTATAGCAACGTGGATATTACTGATTTATTCAATTATACTTGGATGCGTTTCTATGTATATATTATATTATCGAATTTGTAAAGTTGGACAATCCATATTTTTTCAACCTTCGAAACGTAGGGGCATTCTTCGACCACGTCCACAAGAAACCTTTCACCTGATCTGTTGTACATATAATACATGTATGTACAGTATATTCTTTGTTATCCTTCTCTTCTATTCAAGAAATGCCCTTTATTTGATTTAAATTAACATTCCTTGTTTGTCCAGTACAAGCAACTCACCATTTAATTAAGTTATTCGATGGATATAGCAATACATTATGGGCCGAACTTTATCTCGACATAACTAAGCTAGTTTCTTATGCACTTGCAACACTTTACCCAATAAGCATAAGTAAGAATCTATCGCATGTCATATTCGTAACCCCTCTTGATTTTTGTTCATTAACCTTTTTTTTACTCATTCAGTTTATTCAACGCCAACTGTTGATCTAACAACCATGCGATGGACACCAAATAAATACTTGATAGATATTGTAGGATTTTCATTAATGATCTTCCCCTTCATCATTAATATACCAATCGCATTCTACACCGGATATTACGCCGACAACAACGATATTAAAATGGCTGATTACTTTTTTAAACTTCATTACATAATGTGGAGCTTTTGGTGTTCCGTTTTATTAGGCATATTATTGATATTTTGGTATAAATTGATCAACATTCTAAACAAGCATATGAAATTGATAAACAATCGAAGGAATAGAACGAACATTGAAGACATATGGAAATTAAAAAAGCTAAAAAGAGTCGTTAGAAACGTAAGTTGTAAGAGAAAAAAAAAAAAAGACATGTCCGCTGCGAAATCGTGTGAAAGAAATTAACCACCTCTACATATTTATGTTTTTTTTAGCTGACTATAGTTGTATTTTCTTTTGGGTCCATATTCTTGCTTCATTTTATATTTGATTTATTAAGGGCTTTATGTTATAAATCGTTTACGGTTCATAATTTTGAATTAAATGTAGGCTCGATGTTATTTGCGTATTATGTAATTCCAATTTCGCTTAACATTGCTCAATTCACTATGATATATCAGTAAGTAATGAAAATTCCTCCCCCTTTTTTTTTTTTAAAAAAAAAAGCCTTTTAATGAGATTGCTTTTTCGTTCATTAGCATGTTACGAACAACGCAGGAATCTCAAAATATCGCCACGCCTTTAAGAGTTTTCCGTAAATCCGGAACACCTGATAGTTCCACCGTCGAGTCAAGTCAGGTGTTGCATAGTTCCAACGATAACATCACTTCTAACTCAATAGTGAATAATGAATGTCATTTATGCGATCAAGTTAATGAATCAGACAAACAATTATTTAGATATGAAGATTATTCAAATAATTCAAGATTTAGCAATAAATATTCAATAAATTCAATAACAATTTTCGGACAAAGTTCAGTGTCTTTAGGTGATATGCATTCGTCTTCCGAAATTTATATTACAAGCGATGTATTTAATCAAAGAGATCTAATTAATTCTAACGAGGAAAGCAATATTGATGAAAGAAAACCTAACATGGATGATGACGATCCTTGTTATACATATAATCATGATAGAAAAGAATGGCTAGCCGAAAAACCTAAAAGGGTTCCTTTGAAAAGATGACTTTATAAATTACGTTTATTTTGTATTTGTAATATATATCTAGATAAAAATATATTCATACTGTATTAATAACGTGATTGGATTTGTATATATTATTATAATGATAGTCATGCGAGAGGAAAGATTTATAGGTTATAAATAAGTCACTGTATTTATCACTGTGTATTAATAAAAGAGTAACAGATAAAATTTGTTCTAAACCTAGTTATAACTATTTAAGATATCAATATATAGATTCGAAGAATGTAGTAACCAGCACAAAAAGTTTTATTTTTATTAAAAATTTTAATAAATTGTGGATCATTGATACATTTTTTCTACTAACTAATTTATTTAGATCCTAATTAAAAGGCGGGGGATATTCGATCATAACAAAAAGTAATTTGCATAATAATTATCACAATTATCATCATATTAATATTTAATAAAAAAAAAAAATTCTTACAACAGTCAAATTTTCTTTATCTGTTGAACCGAATATCTTTAATATAAGGGAAAAGCAAAAATTTCAGTTTTAGACTCTCATAACTATAAAGATGACTCGGTGCATTGCTTGTAAATATCATGCTAATCATATTAAAAATCCAATCATCTTAAGTCTATATCATACTAAAATAAAAAAAACTAATATAAATACACATTTTTCTAATGAAGTTTTTGATACAAAAATAGTAAAAAAGTAAGTTATTAATTTAGTTTCGACTAAAGCTTTTGTGAAAGCTGATATTCCATTTGAAAAAGTAAATAATTTATTAAATTTTTTTTAAAAGAATATTGTATAGAATATAATATATTTTATTGATATTATTTATTGTTATTTTTTTCTTTTAATATAATTATTTAAATTTAATTTATAGCTGGTAGATAGTAATATTAAGTTGCTCAAACAGTTCAGTTATGCTTCAAATTAGTAGAAACAGATCTCAAACTATTTGAGATTCAGTTTAAAGTAACTAGTTAAATCTGATTTAAAACCTGATTTAGACTATTATTTTTCTAATTTAGAAATATAAAAATGTGTCAATATATTTTATATAATAATATATATTAATTATTGAATATAAAAAAAATAATTTAGCTAATTATTATTATTATTAAAGATGTAGATATACTATTATCAGATTATGATATTTATTTAGCATATATCACAGTATTATTACATTGCCATATACTATATAGTAGATTGTCTTAGGACATAATAATATATTAATATATTATTATGTCCTAAGACAATCTACTTGTATCAGATTACTATGTCCTAGGCCATTATAATCTATTAATTAATACGTTCTAAGACATTATAATCTATTAATTAATACGTTCTAGAACATTATAATATATTAATTAATATGTTCTAGGACATTATAATCTATTAATTAATACGTTTTAGAACATTATAATCTATTAATTAATACGTTCTAGGACATTATAATCCCTTGATTAATATGTCCTAAAGTTGGAGTCTGCTTTTCCTCTCTGTGACTTATTGGTCAGTAAATATGAATGAGGTGCATGCCTATTTGGTTGCCTTTTAAAATACTGAAGTAGTGTAAAAAAAAGTAACGAATGGCGCAATAGATCTGCGATTAATTTCAGCCAGCACTATACCATAATTTTGGCTGATCTTTTGGGCATGTGATTTGAGGATTCAGCTTGATGCCATAATGGTGACTCGATAGTATCATAAAAGTGTTATAGAACTAGCAGTTTGTCAGCTTAGATGCTGAATTATTATGCTCAAAGTTCTGGCCAAATTTATGGAATAGTACTGGCCAAAATTTTCATTAATTTTACTACATCTACTGCATCTACTATATTATGATCACGTGATCCTATTACGACACTGAACACCCTTTCATAGTTATGGGCTAGTAATGGGAATATTCCTAAAATATTCCTGGAATTAAATATATATGCATTTATACTACATATTTTTTGTATCCATATATTTCCAAAATCTTCTTAGCTTCAGTCTGGTAATCTGTTGGTTAGAGAATTGGAAGTGCAATATGTATTATCTTAGCTTGACCCATTTGATTGCCAGAAATGCACCATTTTGCAACCCAACTATTGCCTATTTGTTGCCAGTATATGTATGCCAATTTCGTATCTATGGTTAGATAGAGATGTATTATGTATTATTATGATCAGCCTATTTATATTATACCTGAGTATATACTTAAAAAAGTATAGTCTTTTTCCAATTTTTATATAATAGATTACAAAGAAGACTACACTTTTTCAGATACATCCACTTGCTTTTCTTTTATGTTTTACTGCCTAAGTTAGCTATCGTCTCTTTTAGATATATGCGAAGCTTTCATCATATCTGAATATATCTTAATATTATTAAGGGACTTTTACTAATATACTGGTCGAAATCAAAAAAATCAGACATGTGAAAATCAGCCTAAAATCAGCCTAAATTCAGCCTAAATTTAGCAAATTATCAAAAATCAGCCTAGCCGATTGGTATACATTAGAAATCGGTCAAGAATCAGCCAAAATTTGACCTATCTTATTTATAGCTGATTGGCATACTTATAGCCGATTGGTATATATCAAACCAATTGACGTTCGATTAGAATAATAGGGTATTATCGTTCCTTAGGGATGATGGTTTTATTATTCTTTAGGTATAACGATTTTATCGTTTTTTAGAAATGATAGTATTATCGTACCTAAGGAACAATGGTTTTATTATTCCTAAAGAATGATAGTTTTATCGTTCCTAAGGAATAATGCATTTATCGTTCCTTAGAGATGATAGTTTTATCGTTCCTTAAGTATGATGATTTTATCGTATCTAAGGAACAATGATATTATCATTCCTTAAGGACGATAGTTTATCATTCTTTAGGGACGATGGTATTATTATACCTAAGAAATGATAGTTTTATAATTCCTTAAGTACAACGATTTTATTATACCTAAGAAATGATGATATTATCGTATCTAAGAAATGATAGTTTATCATTCTTTAAGGAACGATAGTTTATCGTTCCTTAGGTATAATGCATTTATCGTTCCTTAGGTATGATGGTTTTATCGTACCTAAGGAACGATGGTATTATCGTTCCTTAGAAACGATGATTTTATCATTCCTAAAGTATGATGATATTATCGTACAATAGTATTATCATACCTAAGAAACGATAGTTTTATTGTTCCTTAGGTATGATGCATTTATCGTTCCTTAGGTATGATGGTTTTATCGTACCTAAGAAACGATGGTATTATTGTTCCTTAGAGACAATGATTTTATCATTCTTAAAATACAATGATTTTATCGTACCTAAGGAATGATGGTTTTATCATTCCTTAGGTAAGATGCATTTATCGTTCCTTAAGGACGATAGTATTATCATACCTAAGAAACGATGATTTTATCATTAATAAGAAATGATGCATTTATCGTTCCTTAGGGACAATGGTATTATCGTTCCTAAGGTATGATGGTATTATCATTCCAACGAACTGAACTTTCAGATTAAACTGATTTGCTAAAATAATATTGATTTAATGTAATATTTGAGTTTTTTTCTGGTATATAGGAATATTTATATAAATAAGCTTAATTTTTTAACTTTTTAAAAAATAATTTCAATCATTTTCAAATTTTCTCTTTTTACATTTCACCAAAATCCTGAAAAAAAATTGTCCTAAGAATAAAAAGACCTAAGTTAAATTTTAGTCAATTTTCACCTTTAACTATCAAAATCAGATGAAGAAAAAGCTGTATTTTAATCTACTTTTTAAAAATAAACTGATTTTTTTACTTTTTATAATAGAAATATGTCTTTAACTATCAAATCAGACGAAATTTAAGTTGAATTTTAGTCAATTTTTCTGATTTTTTTACTTTTTATAATAGAAACATGCCTTCAACCATCAAATTAGACGAAAATTAAGTTAAATTTTAGTCAATTTTTCTGATTTTTTTACTTTTTATAATAGAAATATACCTCTAACCATCAAAATCAGACGAAACTTAAGTTGAATTTTAGTCAATTTTTCTGATTTTTTTACTTTTTATAATAGAAACATGACTTCAACCATTAAATCAGATGAAACTTAAGTTGAATTTTTCTGATTTTTTTACTTTTTATAATAGAAATATGTCTTCAACCATCAAAATCAGATGAAACTTAAGTTGAATTTTTCTGATTTTTTTACTTTTTATAATAGAAACATGCCTCCAATCATCAAATCAGATAAAAATTAAATTGTATTTTTGTGATTTTTCTGATTTTTTATTCTTTTTTTTTTGAAAATGGCAATATTACTATAATGAATATTTAGGATAATTTAAGGAGATTTTAGGAGGAAAATGGTTTATATTTTTATTATTTTATATAGTTTTTTCATTTTTTACTTATATTTTTTAGATAGGAAATTAATCAGTAAGTTTTGGTAATATTTATATTATATTTTTACGAATTATATTAGGTTTTATTATTAATAAAATTATAATATTTAATAAATTTAATAAATATAATATATCGATTTTATATACTTATTTGACTGGATTGATACCAAATTGAGGCCAATTTTAGGTTGATTTATAGTTATTTAAATTCTGAATTGATACCGAATGATGCTGAATTGAGATCAATTTTAGGCTGATTTATGATTATTTAAGTTCTGAATTAATGCTAAGTGATGCTGTATTGAGGTCAATTTTAAGCTAATTTATGTTATTTAAGTTTCGAATTAATGTTGAATGATGCTGAATTAAGGTTAATTTTAGGCTAATTTATGATTGAATTTAATCTGAATGGCTATGTCCGATTGGAGTCAATTAGAGTCGATTGGCGTCTATTGATATCTGAATTATTGCCAAATTGAGGCCAGTTTTAGGCTGATTTATGATTGAATTTAAGTTCTGAATGGCCATATCCAATTGAGGTCGATCAGTGTCTATTGGCACCTATTTGTGCTGATCAAAAACATAGCAAATCAGCCATAAATAGTATCAAAATTGGCCTAAAATCGGCCAT